ACATTACTGGTAGAGTAATGTTATGACATACCCACGTTATTGGTAGTCTATAGTCTTCAAATACGAACTATCTTTAAATGAAGATTTTCTATTATAAAGAGACACTTGTTATGAGTTTTCACTTCATTTTAGTGTCATTTTATAAATAATATATGTGTGTACTCTTAGCTAATAAAAATGTATTTACTATGTCCAATGCCTAGCACACAGTAATGACCCAGCAAGTATGCCTCATGCTTGTTTCTGCAATCCTTGCTCAGTCCCATTCCCTGGCAAAGCTAACTGGTAAGTTTGTGGTCATCTACCTAAACAATTTTCCAGAACTCAAAATCTACATTCATGATATCTATGCCTGTTTTTGCAACCATCAGAACTGCTGTAGATACAAAGAAATATTTTTCAGTTGATGACGAGTGAGATTTCGGTAGCCAAAATCATCTAATAGTTTCAGTTCAACCACAAAGAAAAATTGCTACTTCTGCAAAAATCATTTGATACTTGGGCCGGGGAGATGGCTCAGTGGAATAAGCACTTCCCTGGCAAGCACAAGGGCCTGAGCTCAATCCCCGGTTCCACCAAAAAAAAAAAATCATTTGATACCATAAGTATCCTGTGTGTCAGTGGAAAGGAAGAGAAGAGAGGATTTCACTTGTCATTCCCAAGCCCATTTAATGGAAAATGACATCACCATTTTTTATGTGGAGCTGGCACCTTTTTCACTATTCCTTTCCATCTAGTATTACATTCACTTCTTGAGTTGATATGTTTCTACTAAAACCTAGAAAACATTCAATTTATCAGTATGTGTTTAAGGCTGATCAAGAAACTTAAAAGGATGTTTATTTTCTTAGGCTGCGAAGCCCATACTGGAAGATCAGCTCAAGGCTATGACAGAATCATTGCTTAGGGTGTTTTTTGTTTTGCTGTATCTGCTTCTACCATGTTACCATGTTATTTTTTTTACAAAGGTGCTTCACCTGAAAAGAGGCTGCTACAACCTTCAAGCACATGTTTATTACAAGTAACAAAAAAATAAAGGCAATTGTAATGGATGAAACGTGTGTTAAAACATCTTCCATCATAAAACCGGTATCTTTCCAAAGAATCTCCCCTTAGGCCTCACTTAACACCTCTAACAAACTAGGATACTGGGTAGGTACTGAGCACCATGGGGAAGTAATACCGTAGATTGTCACCCTGAAAGGGTGGCAGTTTTCTTAGTAATGCAGAAGTGAAAGCTGGATATTGCTAAATATCCATGGGAAGTTGTACTGTCCAATATTTTTGTCCAAATACTAAATTTCTTTCTTTCCCCTTTTTTAGACAGTCATGCTATGCAGTTCAGGCTGGCCTTGAGCTCACTTTGAAAATATCAAATTTCTGTGTGCAAGTACTTAGTCTTCTGAGCCCCAGATATCAGGAATATAAAACTATCTTCTAATTGTCCCCCTGCTTTGGGTCTCATTCTCTGCAAAATCTTACAATGGAAATTTGTAAACACTTTTTTTTTCTATAAAAAGCAATGTAATATATAATTCAGGCTTTGTGAGCCCTATAACATTGTACCCAACTGCTTAGTTCTGCTAGTGCAGTCCCCAAATAACCATAGGTAATCTTTAAAGGAATGAATGATGCCCTACATCAGTAAAGCTTTATTTATGAAGTTAGATATTTGACCAGATTTCCTTCACTTGCTTCCACTGATCCTTGTTCTACAATATCATTAGCTTTTTATTTCTGAAATCAAAGTCAATGTACTATCTTCTATGTTGAGGCAGAAAATATATTGATTTTTCCCTCCACCAACTTTCACATCCATTTCTATGTATCCAATGTGCACTATGTGCTACTCCAGTGATTTCTGTGTTTTTGCTTTTTCCACAAAGATGAGCTTAAACACATAAACAGACTAATAAAATGAAATGCTCAATATGTAGCTGAAAGCTTGCCCAAATACTCTTTTAATATATTCTTGTCTGAAACCATAGCTGTAAGAGAATTAAAATGTTGGTTGTTTTTTCAACCAGTTTAGGTATTAGACGTTGGGCCCTAAATTTTTGACCTCACAGTAAGAGAATTTAAGAATATCAGATCTTCTCCAGTCCTGGCTTCCTGCTCAGTGTACACATTATGACTTCCAAGTTATGGAGTACTGTAGTTGTTAGGTTTTTCAGTGAGACAAAGAGATAGAAAAAATGAAAGAGGCCTTTATTGTGCAAACAGGTAAGACCACAGGAAAGGAGAGCTGTGGAGCTTTGGAGAACCCTGCTATGGTAACAAAGGCTATATAGAGCAAGAATGGAGGTGAGGCTTAGGGGGCAGTCAGCAAGATGTGACAGATAGTGATTGGGCAGCAGGCAGGAGCAGGGAAACAGGATACTGCGAAAGGAAGTAGGAAGTTGTAATTTGACCAGAGAGGAAGAAGGCGGAGCACAGAACATGGCCTCTTGATTTAGCAGAATTTTTAACAAAGGCAGAGAAAAAATGTAAGTATTTTCTTAAGTTTATTTTTCTGCATAAGAGAAAAGTATCATCTTTTTGGCTCTTTCTACAAATAACTTTTTCACATCACAGATACATAACAAGGTGACTGGAGAAAGGATCTGGGATTTCAGCATTTCACTTGTAGTCTATCAAGAATTAAGCCACTTACCTTTTCCCAGTACTTTGAGTAATACATATGAAGTGCATAGAATTTTTTAAAATATGTAATTTAAAAGAAAACTGAATATCTGCACGGTTTTGGTTTTCCTTGGAAATTAAAAACTTTTCTTGATTTACCTGAATTTAATTATTGCTCTATTAATAATTTCTGCAATTCAATAATTCTATTGTGTAAAGGCAGAGAAAACTCAAAAGTAAATAAAGTAAGTAAATTCATGGCATTATTTCAAATGAAGAATCTGTTTTGTTTTGTTGAGACAGAGTCTCGCCATGTAGTTTACACTGGCCTTGACCTCACCATGAAGCCCAGGCTGAATCTGAACTCATAGTCCTCATGTCTAAGGCTGCTGAGTACTAGGATTACAGGTATAAACTCTTGTACCTGTGAATGAGAAAAAAAATATTTTCTTCTTACTTTGTTCTTGTTTGTCCAATTGAAAAATATATTTTTTGCTCTGATAAAATAAGACTTCTAAATCTCATACACTTTCCTCAAATTTTTGCAGAGGTTATATTTTGTTTGGTGATTCTTCAGTTATTTCTTGATGCCCAGTGTATTCTTCAGAATCCAGGTAATGGCTAAGACTAGTTTGTTACCACTCATACCCATTATCTGTACTTAGATTATTTTCTGTTAGTAACTTCTTTGTTAGAAAAAAGAAACATGGCCTCACATTACGGCAGTCTTCTCTGTGTCTCACGATGTGTCTGGAAGCCTTAGGAATAAAACACTTTCTCTAATACATACTCTGCCATAATTTCTGCCCCTTCTTGGTTAGGCTTTATTCCTTTGTGCTCCTTGGTGCTGATGTGTTCTTTCATATTCTATTCCTTTGTGCTCCTTGGTGCTGATGTGTTCTTTCATATTCTATTCCTTTGTGCTCCTTGGGTTCTTCCTCTTAAAAGTTACTTCTCCATAGTGTTCCTACGAAGAGCGCCTTAGGACTGTCTTTGTAAGGGAGAGGAGGATGGACCAAGGGACTTTCAGCCCTTTTTAAGGCTCAGGAAATTCTGTTCCTAGGTTTCACAGGAATTCTTGCACACTAAGGTTAACAGTGCCCAGCCTGTCAAATCTTTCTCAACTCTCCGTGGCGACTAATAAATCTGAATTATTCTGGGCTCTCCCCAGGCTTGCTAGTGCTGATCCCTGAGTTCTATGTTCTGTGATCCACAGGGAGCAATTGCTTTCTTCCCTGAGGTACTGCTGGCTGAGACGTCGTCTGCCACTCTCCAGCAGATGCAAGAGCCATGTGGCTCTTTGAAGAGAACTAAAAGAGGCTGAGGATTTTAAATCAGCAAAGGAAGAAGCTCTGATTATTCAAACTTTTTATAAATGTTCAAATTCAGAGCATGATTTCATTAATACCTATAATATACCTCATGCTCACTAATATTCATGCATATTAAAATTAAATACATAAAGTACCTACTCAAATTCAGTCAGACTA